CATATCCCATATCTCTTTGGCCGTCTTTTTCTCTGCCACACTTGACAATACTCCATCGGCTAGTGCAAGGTGCAGATTAGCAACTGCGTTGCTATCCATCTCATTCCACTTAGTATCGTCAATAATTTCCATAGGCCTTTGTCCAATTGCCGCCAAGCAGTTATCTTATCTCAAAATTGCTTTTATTCTCATTTTCCATAATGAGAAATTGTTCCCATTGAACTTTTCAATCTCATATTTTGTCGCCATTTTTCACCAATACTATGATTGAACAACGACCCTACACAGAACCAAGCTCTGATACCACTTGTTAGAAATAACGTGGGTCAACTTTGGCTTTACAACAAAATGGAATTGAGAAACTGCAGCTGAAAATGGACACAAGTATTTACGTGATTCACCCAATTTAGGCTACGTCCACGGGCAAGTATAGGAGGATTTCACTATAGTAGGAGAATTACAACACTCTCTAAATACAAGGAGATAACAATAATTAATCTCTCTTGTAATATGAGAATACAAGGAGGTAATACTTAGGAGAAACTAATATTTTTTTTTCTCTACTCCCAATCTTCTCTCTACTCTCTAATTCCTCTCAAGTTGCTTGCATTCTCTCTCCCCACATCTACCTCAATTTATAGAAATTGTTAACCTCCTTAATGGAAGTATCTACATGAAAACAAGAAGAATTTCAATAGAAATTTTCTTCTTAAATAGTCAAATATGGTGGCTAGGAGAGTTTCACTTCAATTTTACCACTTCCAAGTTGTGATTGGTGGAAAGGAATTCAAATTCAAGTTGGTCACTTGCAACTTGAAAACTTCTTCATGAAGTTTCAACAATAATTATTGGAGTCAACAATTGTGGCTTTAATATTCAACTAGTTAAGCATTAAATCGTGCGAAATAATTCCCAAAGGACTCTTCTCTCTTGCCTCACATCATTCAATTCCATGGTTGATGTCAGTACCATCCTACTTTTAGCGAACTCCTTAGGACTACTCGTTTCAACAATGTTCAGTTATTGATTGAGCCTGACGATAACCGGTACATAGATCTTCTTTTTACTATGTTTCTCCATTGCAAGCTGGTCTCCATGTTCTTCATACAGATGAGTGTTATACAAAGTGTTGATCAGGCTTTCCACTCTCTGACCTTCACGATGATAGCACTAGTTATGCTTCATTTCATGAGAGTTCACCTCATTTGTAAGGCTCTGTAGGGTGAGTTTAATCATCAGTCACTCCTTTCATTACCTTTCCATCATATTATCATATGTTTTTGATAGTTGTAGGCTACTGCTATTTTACGGAAGAAGGTGGTGATAGGCTCCATTTCATTCTCGTTGAATTTACTTTGCAAACTCGCCCTCGAATTTTCAAACTTTACATGCAGAGATGCATTCTTTGCTATTAGTGCCTTGAGGTTTTCTGCCAATTCTTGTATAGTTTTCGCTGTAGATGGGCAAAAAAATGTCGACCTGGAAACTTGTCGGCATTTCTTCCTGCTGTCGTTTCAAATTAGCATCACAGTTTACCGGATCGTTGTTGTGCTTTTTTATTCCAACTTTCAGCACTTTTACTTCTTCCGAATTTACCTCTGTTTGGCCCTTTTTCCCCCCAAATTTCAAGGATTTCTCAAGTTTAATGGAGAATTCGTGATTCTCTTCGCTCAAGTTTCCCACAAACGACGCCAATTTGTTGATCGCAAAATTATAACCAACAAATTCCTCTCATATAGCCAGAATATTTTCCTCCTAAACTCTCTAATTTTAACGTTCAAATAGGAGTAAGAGGGGAAATGGCTGTTTGGGATAGATATTTGAATTTGTATGCCCCCACCCCCCTCTCTCTATCAAGTGGTTTTATTTATAGATTTCCTTGAAGGCTTTGGTTCATTCTAGAAAATGACAAATGACAGTCGTTTAGTGGTGGATTGATAGCCGATTCTATTATGCATTCACATTGTTATTTATTAGTTTAGAAGTCATGATTTTCATATTTACCCACGTGTGTTAACAATGGCTTTTGCCGCAATAGAGGGGGATGGATTGCCCCTTTTTTATGGAAACCTTCTACATTCTAATTGCCCTCGTGTACTTTTAGTCTTCTGAGCTCGCACGATAGATTTCTTGATTCAACATATATACTTTGTACGCTAGAGTAAACAACACAAGTGATAAATATTGTCACATATAGACGAGCATATCAAACACGACCATTAATGTCTTATGATAACTATTTAAAAAGGGGACAACCAAAAACATTGACATATAATGTAATGAGCTGCACATTCATGGTAGTCAATGATTAAGTTATTAAGGATTAACAGATTTGCCAACCTTAAAGAGTAAAAGAAACATAATAAACAATAAAGGGCATTAGAGACACTGTTCATTTGACCTTTTAAATCATCTTTCTTACAAGCATATGAAAATAATAGGAAAGAAATAACAAACGAGCAGGCAAATGTACTGTAAGAACAAAACTCTCGATAAAAGGAGAAAAATAAAAGTTCTTCGACTACGATTTGTCATCAATAGGCTATGATGCTCGGACTCGGATACGGGTATCGGGTATGGGTACGTATCTAAGGGTTGAATCTTTTATTTTCTAAAAAGTAGGATACAGGGATATGACTAAAAAGAGTCCAAATTTCGGACACGGGTACGTGAATACGTCTTTCAAATTTCAATTTTTTTTTTACTAATCCAAGATGTCATCTTGAATAGAACAAAATAAATTATTCACAAAGAAGAAAATGAATATTAAATAAGGGGTTAAAATGAATAAAATCGAATTATGGGATTTAGTTTTCAATCATGAGAATTATTGAATGTTATTTAAAATATAAAAGGAAAGACTTGATTGCAATCTGGACTTAATGGAGTAGTAACTAGTAAGTAGCACTGTATGGAATCCATTTTCATTTTATGCAAACAGAACTCTAAACCACCTTTACTGAGAGAAAGAAGGAAAAAAAGAAGAAAATTGAAAGAAAGAAGGGAAATCCTAGTGCCACCACCCTTCTTCATCCTTTCGGCGACGACGCTATGTTTATAGAGAGTGAAAACTGGGAAAGAAGAAAAGGGGGAAAAAAAAGAAGCAAAAACGACGAAGTGTCCGATTGAAATTTGAAAGATCCGACACATATCCTATACCCATACCCATACCTGTGTCGTGTCGTGTCCGACATGAGTACTCCAACTATTTCGAAGAGTCCGAGCATCAAAGGTACCTTAAGTCAGTAAAAATAAAATGCTACAAGTTGAAAAAAATACATACGCTACATGATACAAAAACACACAAAATTAGTCCAATCTCAAAAATTTCCCCGAAGCCATTTGCAGCCGGTCATATGATGTTTTCATACAAACAACAATGAAGATCCAGTGCACAACTTAATTGTACACATCACAGCAAACCCCAGCTCTAGGAAAATCTATACCTGACTCGCTCTAAAATCCAAGAATGCACCCTTTTTTCAAAAACATCTAAGAAAAGAAATGATGCAATTATTGCGGCCATACATTTAGACATACTGAAGTCACAAATTGATCGCGAAACCCTTTGCCAGAAACCAAACCTCAAACTTTCAGAAGAGGGTCCTGTATAGTTCAGCCACTTTCTCTCAAGCAATTTCCGGGCAAGAGAAATTTGTATTTATGGGCATTTTCCAGTAGATATGAAGGGAGATAAACGGCTGAGTATGAATGGGGAATAGGTCCCATTTTCCCAATAATCTCCTTAAAAGTGTACTCTTCCGGCAGCATATCGAATAAATTTTCCCCCCTGCAAATAATTCTCTGGATTCTTTTGGTATTCAGAAAATGAGAAAATCGAACCCTGTCAAAATGGCTATAAGCTTTCATCTTGAATATGAATTCATTAATGTGTCGGAAGCAAAAGCTACAATGCCATCCTGCATCAGCCAAAATGTCATCAGAGTGTCGATAATGTGCATATTTTGTCTTCCCCGATTGATATCTGTGAACAGAAGCTCTCCAGCTATTATTATCCACAAGAAACTCGAAAGAGTACAGATAGTTCTTCAGCCGAAGATGGAGGATTGGAGGTATACCATCGCACCATCTCAAAAGATTAATCGTGTGTCGACTCGGTATCTCATCAACATCCGACATTATCAACAAGTCGTCATCCTGAATTCCAGCTTGTTTGAGAAGAAAATCCAAAGCCAGTCTCTGATAGGCCTCCTCAATAAATGGATTTTCTCCTCTCCTAAATCTGCCTGGACATTGCCCATAAGTCAATCGTGACTCGACAAATTTGAATTGCCCTCGATTAGCAGAAAAGAACAAAGGCTTTGCCAGTCCAGTGAATGTCGAATTTGACTCGAGTAGTACAAATTCTGTCACGTAAGGGTCCAATTCCTTCCATCGTATTTTAAGGATGTCTACTTCATTGTTGAACAAGACTACATCAAATACTCGCCTTGGATGCTCTCGTATACCCCAACCGTGAAGTTTACAAAGATTCTCCATCGACACATTCTCGTGATAATAGTGAGGGATATCATGGAAGGACTTGGGCGGTTTTTCCCATAAAGGCCTCAAGAAGGATGTGATCTTTGGTCCATGCACATAAATAACAAAGACGCACATCGGAACCAACACCAAAAGAAATAGATATGCTTTCATATCCAATCCATACTTAATACACTTTAATCTTGACATGCTCAAAGTTCGACCTGAATCCTGTAGGTTAAAAATCAGATTCACTATAAACTTCATAGAGCTTACAAAATCAACAAGAACTACGAAATCTCCATATTTTAATGCAATAATCTCTCCATTCAACACCAGTATCAAACATCGAACAGCATGTCTATTACGACGGCTTAGAAACTATATAAAGAAACAAAAATAAGCCAAAATCCTGTTCATTATACCGTCTAATCCCCTATTCAATGACACTTTGCATATGGAAAAACCTTAATTTCGCCATAACATTCATCAAAGTATTTTAACAGACATAAAACCCAAGAGTAACAGAGGTATTATTACATCATCACTACATATGATTTCATAAGGATATTCTGAATAAACCAATTTACAAAGAAAAGTAAAAATGAAACTAATAAAGAATGAGAAAAAAAACCATTTGATAAAATTTCCGAAAATTGATATGGATAAAATTCCAAAAATTAATATCGATTTTTTGATGAAAAGAAAGTTGCAATCTTTTCTAAAATAGGGCCTCAAAATTCAGAATTCCAATTTGAAAAATTCAATTACTTAAATTACAAAAAATTAACCCACGAAAACCACCACAATCGTTAAATCCCAAAATTGTCATCATACAAGGAAAAATAGGAAAATCAAACCTTAAATGAACCCTTTTTAATGGGTGTATATATTAATTTAAATAAAAAGTGGATAAGGAACCAAAAAAAAAAAAAAAAAAAAACACCTCGTCATTAGCTTCCGAACATATGTCGTCTGTCTTCTTAGAAGAATAACGGGATTCTCCTTCAGTCAATCTTGACTTATTCCACATATCTTCCCTCTTGATTTTAATATCAAACCCAGAAATTGCAAACCCAACAAAAATCAAACTAAGCCAAAATGTAGGGGGGAAAAAAGATAAGAAGGGGAGAGACACAATGAAGTCTAAGAACTTCGAGAACCCAGACACAAGAATTCTTGAAATTATCAAAAAATAATGAAAAAAAAGGATAAATTAAAAGGAATGAACTGAAGTGTAAGAGACAAAGAAAGAAAAAGAAATCCTTTAGTACTATGTTGTGTGTGTTGGAGCCTCACTGGTGAATGGGTGGCAGCTGTAAGAATTACCAAGAAGCCGTTTTCTCGTCTTCCGCCCAATGTTGCGGGGCCATTTATAAAAATAAAACTAAATGGACAGGGCCAATTGGGGTGTGCCACTTGGCCCCTGGATTTGGGCCTGGATTTGGCCCTGTCCAAACAGCACCCTTCCATTTATAAACCTCAGAATGTAGGAAAGTTTCATGTTTGTCTTACCCATTTGTAGTCTGCTTAAAATTATATATAATTATGGGTATTTTTGCCATCTTGTGGAACTGGCTGTTTGGGCTATCCGACTAATGAATAATGCTATATATTATAATAGTATTAGAGTACCAGTCTAAATTGTAGCATATTATATGTCCTATTAAATAGGCATAATTCATTATATTTAACTGAATCTATAATTTAATGTCATAATTGCTACCACCTAAACTAGTGTTTAGCATCAGTGGTATTAAATAACATTACACTAGGCTAATTCTTGTCCACATCTATAGACTTACACAATACTATGTATGAGTATGTCGTGTTCTTTTTATTTTAAAATAAGCCCTTGTTTGAGTCCCATTTTTGTTATAAAAATGCATTTTTAAATAGTATATTAATGTGAAATGTGTAGTTGAAAAATGTGAAAATTTTTTGTATTTGCTTGTAATATTATTTTATTAAAAAATGTTTGTTTGAAATAATGTTAAAACACTGTTTAAGAATACATTTTTCCAAAGAATGAGGCTCAAATCAGGGTTAAATAAGTAAATGAATTGGTCATTAGCATAAGTTTCTTAGACTAAACATATAAGAAAAGAATACAGTCGACTCAATTATAATTCATCGAGGAATTAGTAGTGACAAATGTAATTTATACACTTATTTAGGTATATAATTATAGATATTTAAAAATTCTTTTGATTAATTATGAGTTAATATTTTGTATAATTTGTTTGTTAGGTAAAATTCAATGGTTACAAGTAAAATTAGAATAAATGAAATAAAAATGGGCGAAAATGGCAATTTCCAAAGTTTGGGAATATGACACAAGAAAATGACTTAATTGAATAAATGATCAAATTTGGTGACCAAAATGCATAAGATTGAAAATTGCAACCTCGCGATGAGCATGTGAGATGCTATTTCGCCGAACCCGTGGCTGAAGCATAGTTTAGATGTGTGCGTGCGCCATGGAATGCGTTGTGCGCACATGGATTTGTTCGATGACATGATGAGTAGCTTCCAATTTTGATTAAAACTCAATTTGGAAAGTACTTTGGACGCAATCTTAACCTAAAATTCAAGGCATATAAATATATAAAAGCATCATACAACAAATAACATCTCTCATACATTATATTTCATTAATCATTACAAGAAAAGTGAGGCCGATTCATAACGTGAGATCATCTGCTTTCGGAAGAAATCGAAGAATTTCTTAGCTAGTTACTCGGGATTCTCGACTGTTTCATTTCTTGATGTTAGTAATGTACAATGGTCAAATAGAATTAGTTTCTTGTCGGGACCTCTTGAGAATTAAGAAGCAATTGCAAGAATTCAATCAATTGAAAATCCAACCTTAGTTTTTGGGCAAAGAAGATAAGGCACAACTGCAGATTTATCAATAAACAATTGAAAAGATACAAAATTTCAAAATTGATCTTCTTCTTCTCAAATTATCAATAGGATGATATTCTACAATTCGAGCATTATTTCTTATAATTTTTTAATGTTGGGCTAGGTTTTTGTTTACTAAGAATATAGATGAACTCTAATTATAAAGTTCTTAATGTAAAATCAATATTTTGAAGTCCAATATATATTTATTCTTGGATGATTGTTATTGTGTTTAATGTTTTTAAATTACTTAACCACTAACTGGATTGATTAGTGAGTTTTATTGTTATTGAGAGAGACTAAATGATAAATTTCACTTGTAACAACTATTGTAAAGCCCAGAATGAGGATATAAATATACCTCTATACATTGCATGATTTCAATAGATGTTCTAGTGGCTTTAGTACATGCTTTCATGTTCCTATATTTTACAACGATATAGGAATGTGAGATGAGAGGACATTTTTAATTCTACTTGAGAGAGATTACTAATAACTTAAGACTATTGATCAACAAAAATGCATACATATTCTCATGGTATTGAATTAGTATAATTTTTTCACATAAAGTTGGCTATTTGATTAAATTAAGTACATAGTTCTCGTGGAACGATACTTTACTTATAACTTTATTACTTGTTCACTGTACCATCCACTTGTGAAAATTCGTACAAGATATAAAAATTGTGGTGTGATTATAATTACCGTCAACGTAATTGGAAATATAATTTTTCTTACATTTTCTTATCATACCCTATATTAAACAATGATTTAAATAGGAGCAATTTCATATTTATTGATAAAAAGACACATTGAATAGATGCATATTAGAATAATAAAAAATCATTTATATTCTCATCAAGGAAAATGACTTATAATTTTGGATAGACAAAAAGGGAAAGCAGGCATATCTTTATGTGATAGAAGAAATATTTTGTGTTAGACAATTTGTTGTCAAACGATCTCCATGATTTGTGATGTGAACTAGGTTTTAATTTTCAGTTAGCTTGGACCAAATGACTAAACGGTATGTCAATACCACAAATGGGACGACCCAACCCCAATTTGTATGGACCACTAGAAGCAACCTAATTTAGTAGTATTGCTCGTGGCCCGTCCCATTTACTTGGATGGCTTAGCAATGGTACCCATTTGGAGCCCATTATTCTTGTGTTGGGCCTTTTGGGCCTTTACCTTAACCTAACCTAACTTACCTTATTTAGTCTCTCTTTTTTGGGCTATATATCCGTCTCCTTTAGTGCCTCCAAGAGACACGCGTTGCTTCCTTTTATTCCCGTTTCTCTGTCCATTTTCGGTCAGCTTACTTGTGCTACCTTTGTGGTTGATCTTTGTGTGATATTAGCTTCCCTTGGTAATCTCTTTGTTGGTGATATAAAGCAACCGTAAAGGGGAAGAAACCAAGTTGGGGTGTCTCGGTTGTTGCTCGATCGTGGTGTTGATTAGGTGGTAAACTAAGTCTGGTAACGCCTTGGTATTCGTGGGTTTTTACTCTACATTTAGTTTTCAAGAACTTATATTATATGCAAGGGCACGAAGGGAAGCTTGATGTATTTAATAACAAAATTTCACACGAAATATTAGAGGATATAATAAAAAATAATGAATAAGATTTTAGTTATTCTATTCATTAATCATATCTCCAATTGTCTAATCAAAATTTTCATGTTTCCCTAACAAGGCAATACATGTATAAAGGTCATCCAAGGGGAAGTATTATAAATTAAACATTATTTGTGGATGACTATCTATCCGTGCAACCTAATCTTATTCTATAAATATGGGGTCTTTACTCAATGATATACACTTTAATTCCTAATCATATCCTATAAATATAAGGTCTTTGTTGTTTATACACTATAGTTTTGACTCTCTCTTCTTTGCTTATATTATTCTCTAGTTTTACAAAATTTTTAAATATTTTTTGACCTTACGATAAAATTTTTAATCTTGGTAGAGTCTTGCATCTACTCAATCATAATCCTGGTTTGCCCCTAATGGGGATTTATTCCTAAATAAAAATGGAGTTGTAAGTTATCTCACTAGGGTTGGAGATATACATATCATGATCGGCAAGCCATCCACCTTAGTTGTTCTACTTAAATATGGCATGATTTGCTTCTTTATTTATGTTTTTAATTTTTTGACCACGAAAGAAATGAACAAGATACGACCAAAAACTAGAAAAATACCTGAATAGTGTCAACAATAACTTGAACAGAAAAGAGATAAAACAAAAAGAAAATGGACATTAACCTTAGTAATCCACCATCTTCTTAGTAAAAATTCTCGTGGATTCTTCTAAGATTTATTCTTCAAAAGTGCTGAATGTTGTTGACCTTCAAATAATGATAAGCAAATTTCCCTTACCCATCCACAATTTTCCTCCTAATCTCACTTTATTTGATGTTTAATAAGGAGTACGAAGGAAAATTTCTATTTAGAGGGAGATATTTAAAATTTTTCGTACCTTCTTCAATTTGGTCGGGACTATTTATAGATTTCTCTTTGACCTTGAGTGCAACGGGGTCTTTCTGGTTATGACAAGTGGCGGTCATTTAATGGATGATTTCAATTATTTATGTTGCATGTACATATTTCACCAACTTACATGTACTTCATTCATTGAATTTGAAGTCATGCTTTAAACATATTCACGTGTCCCTTGATAATGGTTTCTATCGACGTAAAATATAATGGGAACAGCTCACATCTTTGGTTATGAGTTCTTATACTTGACAAATACTCTCATTTATTTTCAAGGGCTCACGTGTTTTTAATTCTTAATCATGTTCTCATAGAAGGTCATGAGTCATTTGTTATTTCTTTGAATTTAGTTATTGTTAACTAATAGTTTCCATGGTTTGAATTTAATTATTTATGTTTAAATCTAAGACTTTTCTATTATTTTACTTTGGGATGTCGACATTTTGGTTAAAAAAACGACTTTTGATAATCTATTTCATATTAGTCTCCGAAGTTGGAGTTTAACTATTTATGTTAAGCGGCGAACTTATGGACGAATAGGAGTTGTAATTTCCAAAGTTTATTTTGGGCATTATAATTAATGTACGATTAGATGTAAAAACTCCTTAATAATTGCCTTTTTTGAATGTATTTTAACAAGTGTGTACTTGCGCCTGGTATATACGCTCGCTCTAAATAGTTTGTTTGAATGTCTCTTCATGTTTTAATGGATGAGATTGAGTCAGTTGAAATTTAGTGGCCGCATTTTTAAACCTACATATAGTGTCATTTTTTTTGCTTCTCTAAAACACAAAAAATATTCCTTCGTTCTTTGAAATTGTTATAACTTCTTGTTTGCAATGCTTTTGCCAGATAACTATGGCATATAGGTTAGCAAAAATGATCGTGAAGTTGGCAAATGATTAGCTAGAAGTAGCAAATTTGTCATATTTTGGCATTTTCAAATATATGCATC